AAAAAAATTTAGACATTCCAGATAAATAAAAATTGATAGAATTCATACAAGAGCTTTTCTTCTGGTTTAAACATACTCTTGAGAATGTGGTTCTTCAGACTCTTCACCTAAAATGTGGAGTCATTTCTCCAGGTCCTCATCTTTGGTGGGGTTTGGATTGTGAAGCTAGAAAGCATAACTCTGTAAGAAATACTAAAGGAAGTTATTTAAGCTAAAATAAAAAGGCACTAGACAATATCTGGAAACCACATAAGAAATAAAAGGTAACAGTAAACATAGCAACACAGGTATATATAAAAGTTAGTATATATTTTTGTAATTCTTTTTGTTATGAAAACCAAATATAGAATAAATAAGGGAGTTAAAATGGTGCATTTGAAATATATATTTAACACAAAAAAGGCACTAATTGAGAAATAGAGGAATAAAAAGCAAAATACAAAACAAAAAATAGCAAAATGGCAGGTATAAATCCTACCTGAATAGTAATGATATTAAATATAAATGGGTTAAACCACTCCAATTACAAAGCAGAGACATGCAAAATGAGTTTTTAAAAAACCAACTATATGCTCTTTATAAAATATACACTTTAGTTCCAAAGGCACGAATGGGGTTGAAAGCAAAAGGACAGGAATATATACCATATAAATTAAACAGTAATCCAAAAAGAGCTAGAGTGACTGTACTAATAGACAAAATAGACAGTAAGAAAAAACTGGTGTGATCAACATTATATATTGAAAAAAGTGTTTATCCATCAAGAATATGTGTCATTTATAAATATATGTGCACCTAACAACAGAGGACAAAAATATATGAAGCAAAAAAATGACAGTATTGAAGGAACAAATAAATAATTTAACAGTAATAGTTGGAGACTTCAATATCTCATTTTCAATAACCAATAGAACAACTAGACAGAAGATTGATGAGGAAACAGAAGACATGAGCACACTATAAACCAACTAGACCTAACAGACACCTATGGAACAATCCTCCCAACTATAGCAAAATACACATTTTTCTCAGGTGCACATGGAACATTCTTCAAGGTATATCCTTGTTATACCATAAAACAGCTCTCAATAAATCTGAAAGGACTGATAGCACACAAAGTATGTTCTCTAACCACAATGGAAAAAAATTAGAAATCAATAAAAGAAAATTTGGGGAATACACATATGTGAATAAACATGACACTTCTAAACAACCAATGGGTCAAAAAGAAATTTCAAGGGAAATTAAAGAACAGTTTGAGATGAACAAAATGAAAACATAACAAAACATCTCATATGCAGCTAAAGCAGTGCAGAGAGGGAAATTCATAGCTGCAAACACTTATTTTTTAGTTTTTTACGAGCAATCCCCTGAACCAGAATAGGTTCAGAGTACTTCAGTAGGCACTTACATTTAAAAAAAGAAATATTTCTCAAATCAATAATCTAAGCTTATCTTTAGAAACTAGAAAAAGAAAAGCAAGTTAAACCCCAAGCAAACATAAAGAAGATAATAGTGAGGATTAAAACAGAAATAAGATAGAGAAAAATATATAAAACCTTCTACAATTTGGTTCTCTGGAAAGATCAACAAAACTGACTTACCTTTAGCTGGACTAACCAAGAACAAAATACAGGAGACACAAATTATTAAAATTAGAAATGAAAGAGAAGACTCTACTACTGACCTTACAGAAAGAAAGACAAGGGGTTACTCTGAAAATTGTAAGCTAACAAACTAGCCTAGACGAAATGGACAAATTCCTAGAAATAACCAACTACTGAAACTGACTCAAATAAAGATAGAAAATCTGCATAGACTTATAAGAATAAAAATAATAAATGAAACAAAGAAACAAAACTTTCTACACACAAGAAAGCCCAAAACCAGATGGTTTCACTGGTAACTGCTACAAAATGTTTAAAGAAGAATTAACCCCGATCCCTCACAAACTCCTCCCAACAATAGAAATAGAGGGAATACTTACCAAATCATTTTAAGAAGCCAATATTACCTTGATAGCAAAACCAAAAACATTACAAGAAAATAAAACTACAGAACAGTATCCCTTATGAACAGAGCTGCAAAAAAAAATCTTAACAAATTACTAGCAAGCCTAATGCAACAACATATAAAAAGGACAACATGACCAAGTAAAATTTATCCAAGGAATGAAAGCTTAGTTGTGCATTTGAAGTCAATCACTATAATACACCATAGTAATGGAACAAAGGACAAAACCCACAAGATCATCTCAACTGACATAGCAAAAGCATTTGGCAAAATTCAACATAATTTCAAGACAAAAATTCCCAACAAACTGGAAACAGAAGGGAATTTTCTAATCCTGATGAAGAGCATTGAAAAAACCCACAGTTGACATCACACTTAATGGTGACATACTAAAAGCTTTCCCCCTTAGATCGGAAACAAGACAGGGAAGTCTGCTGTCACCAATTCTATTCAATATTGCACTGGAGATTCTACCAGGAATTATATACGAAAATGAAATAAAAGGCAGCAAAATTGGAAAGGAAGAAGTGAAACAATCTCTATTTGTAGATCATACTATCTTATACACTAGTCTTCACTGTCATTGATAGGTTTTTGGAGACTGCAACTTTAAGTGAAATGATAATGTATGACAAAATCAATTTTTTCTTATCAACATCATAACACAACAACATTGAATGAAATGATGTTATTCAAGGACCTGCTGTATATCATTTCACTTGAAATTTAAACCTAAGAACCTATTGATGCTGTCAAGTCAGGACTTACTGTATACAGAAAATACAAAACAAATTGTATTACTGAGATTGCAATACTCCTCAAATTGATCTATAGACTCAATGCAAGCCTTATCAAAATTCCAGCTACTCTTTTTTACAGAAATGGAAAATCTGGTCCTAAAATTCACATAGAAATGCAAGGACCTAGAATAGCTAAAACAATCTTCAAAAAAAAAAAAAAAAAGAGTTGGGAGATTCACATTTAGATGTCAAAACTTCCTACAACAATCAAAGTGAACCAGCAACCAACAGAATAACAGAATGAGAAAACATTTTTGCAATCTACCTACCTGACAAAAGAGCTAATATCCAGAATCTACAAAGAACTTAAGCAAATGTACAAGAAAAAAACAACCCCATCAAAAAGCAGGCAAAAGATATGAACAGACACTTCTCAGAAGACATTTATGCAGCCAATAAACGTATGAAAAAATGCTCATCATCACTGGTCATTAGAGAAATGAAAATCAAAACCACATTGAGATACCATCTCATGCCAGTTAGAATGGTGATCATTAAAAAATCTGGAGACAACAGATGCTGGAGAGGATGTGGAGAAATAGGAACACTTTTACACTGTTGGTGGAAGTGTAAATTAGTTCAACCACTGTAGAAGACAGTGCCGCAATTCTTTAAGAGGATCTTGAAATAGAAATACCATTTGACCCAGCAATCCCATTACTGGATATACACCCAAAGGATTATAAATCGTCCTATAAAGACATATGCCCATGTATGTTCACCGTGGCACTGTTTACAATAGCAAAGATTTGGAACCAACCCAAATGCCCATCAATGATAGACTGGATAAAGAAAATGTGGCACATATACACCATGGAATGCTATGAAGCCATAAAAAAGGATGAGTTCGTGTCCTCTGCAGGGATGTGGATGAAGCTGGAAACCATCATTCTCAGCAAACTGACACAAGAACAGAAAACCCAACACTGCATGTTCTCACTCGTAAGTGGGTGTTGAACAATGAGAACACACGGACACAGGGAGGGGAACATCACCGACCGGGGCCTGTTGTGGGGTGGAGGGCTTAAGGGAGGGATAGCAGGGGGTTGGGGGACTGGTGAGGGATAACATTAGGAGAAATACCTGATGTAGGTGATGGGGGGAATGGATGCAGCAAACCACCATGGCATGTGTATACCTATGTAACAATCCTGCACAACCTGCACATGTACCCCAGAACTTAAAGTATAATAAAAATTAAAAAATATTTACATGTATATATGGTAATATTAATGCTACTTGGGCAAACCAGAAGCAAAGAAGCAGTCAAGGCTTGATGACTCTACCCAATACCTGTTGCTGGATTTCTTGTCTAAGTAAGCTAATATTCCTTACTGCTCCAGATATATTCTCTAGATGACAGTGATACATAATCTTTACTCTCTTCAAAATTTGAAATACAAACAGCAATGTTTTAAGGATTGGTAGGATTTCATTTGTTTCTCTGGACATTCCACTTTTTTAGAGCCCATAAAATGGTACCTGGAAGATAAAGTGGCAAGTGCTGATAGGTACTTAAGCAGTCTTAGTTCTTGTTTGTTTGTTTTTTTGTGAGAGGGAGTCTTGCTCTGTCACCTAGGCTGGAGTACAGTGGCGCAATCTCAGTTCACTGAAACCTCCTCCTACTGGGTACAAGCGATTCTCCTGCCTCAGTCTCCCAAGTAGCTGGGATTAGAGGCACCTGCCACCACACCCAGCTAATTTTTGTATTTTAGTAGAGATGGGGGTTCACTATGTAGGTCAAGCTGATCTCGAACTCTTGACCGCAAATGATCCGCCCGCCTTGTCCTCCCAAAGTGCTGGGATTACAAGCATAAGCCTCTGCGCCTGGCTGTTAGTTGTTTATTTTTATTTAAAAACAGCCTAGTCAGCAATCATCTCTTTGCCTCTCACAGACCAATCAGCTAACTCTCAGGTGACTTCTTGGCTAAAATCCTCAGTTAACACTAGGGCCAAAGGCAGTGATGACTCACTGGCAAACATCAGATGCTCAACAAGAAAACGTTCCCCAGAAACAGACTTCTGCTGCAGTGACTAGTGTACTGTGAGTGGCATCCAGCTTTGCAGCTCTCCTTTCTCCCACAGCTTGGTATTCATCACCCATCTTTTCATTAAGATAAGATGATACAGTAGGCAGTAATACAGACGGAAATATAGTGAAATATCAATAAGTAAAATGTAGAATACCTTGTTTTTAGCTAATTCTTTTTCCAAATTGCATCTTTCTTGTGCTATTTCTTTTTCTGTTTTATTAACCTGCCCAAGGGGGGTGGGAAAAAAAAGAACTGGGTCAATTTTACAGCAGCTGACAGGCTCCACTATAGCAGACATATCCTGTGTGTCAATTAATACCTACACTGCAGAGATAGCACATCCTCTCAGAAAAGGGGCCAATCAAGGAGTCTCTGAAGCAGAGCAGACTTCACAAATAGCCCTGAAATTAGAAAGACACGTCTACATGTCAGACTCTGCTGGTTCCTTCCTAAGTAGGAAGACAGGGCTATTACCCCTTAACCTCCACTGTCCCACTCCTTCAGGGAAAATCAATTTTTAAAATCTGATCCCTTAACTAACATGAGGATGTGTGAACTACTAGTTAACATTCACTAATGCTGGATAAGGATATACTGTTCTATTTGGCACAGACTACTTCACATGCTAAAAGGCATAGGTTAGCCACCTAAAGATTCTTTATTGGGCAACTCAGACAAACTGCATCTGGGTTTCTTTTCTTGTCTTTTGCATTTAAAATATAATTTTAAAACACCACCACACCACAAAGAGAAGATAATGTCAATCTGCTTCTACCTACCTCCCTCTGAAATCTTTCTTTCTCCTCTAGCAGAAACTTCTTCTCTTGCACTGATGCTTCCAATTCACCTCGCAATCTTGCAATAGTTGATTCTAGCAGCTCTTTTTGCACAGATGTTCTCTTTTCAGCATCCTGTGCTTTCTGGATACACTGGTTATGCTCAAGGATTAAATGATCCCTGCAGGAAAAGAACAAGAACATACGAAAGCTAAATGAGAGTTCTAATTTAACAGAAAGAGTAATTAAATGTTCTTACAGAACATATTTCCTGACTAAGAGTAGTTACCAAAATGGTCTAACAAAACTAGTTTCTTAAGGGCAGAGTCTTAATTTTATCTTTGTAACTGGCCCAAAAATGCAGGATTAAATGTTTTCATTGAAGACAGGCAGACACACACACACGATAAGAAACGCAAATGCAAGAACGAAAAATGTGTAAGAAGTTGCCCATAATTTACTTACAGATGTTCTTGGAGTTGGGTTTTCTCATTCTGAACAGTCTGTAGTTCATTTGTGATACTGGCATGGGCTGCATCCAGCAGTAAGTTTTGTTCTTGAAATGTCTGCGTCATCATTTTCTGCTCTACCTGAGTGTTAAAAGCAGTATTAGAAGTTGAGGCTCTAGAAAATCTTTTGATAGCTGGGATTACAGGGTATCATTTGGAGTAACTGATCAAAGACACTGAACTAACTTAAAAAAAAAAGTTTTATTTATATAAATAAAATCTCTTTTTAAAATAATTAATTTTAATGCCCAGTTTCTCTTTGTACTCTTCTGAGTTGACCAAAATTCTACCATTTTATAGCTCTACTAACCAATAGTGAAGATGCATTATTTACCCAGCCTACTGAAAAACTATAAAACTCCTAATACCAACAGATTTTTAAAGATAGTGTATTAGGAGTATTTTTGGCATTTTAAAATTTCAATATGGTACTTTATTTTTAAAAGTAAAACAATATAAATGTATATAAAATGAAAAGATCCCTTCCTATTCACACTTCCCCTCTAAATAATCCCACATTCTAAGGATTACCACGTTGAACAGTTTGCTGTGAATTCTTTTGAGGCTATCTTAAATTGCACTCAGATACTGTTACAGCAGAAGCACTATAACTGTTACACAAAATTTATTTTCTTTGCCTCACCATTTTGAAATTATCAAAACATAACATTTTTGTGTACCACATAATCCATTAAGTTTTTGCAAATACAGTACATATTAATCAGTTTTATTAATACTTTTTAACACACTTCTATTTTAACAATATTTGATTGCAAAGCAAGCCTTCATACTTGGTAAAATGGGATCCCAATTGTGTTATAAAATTTTGAAATACTTGTAATAAATAGTATTATATATTCAGTCCACTGAATAAGTCCATGATAGTAGGAATTCTGTCTTGTTCACCACTATGATCCTATCTAGATACAGCATTATACTTGCACAGAGTTAAAAAACTAATTATTTATTCAGTATATGTTACGTGCAAAGTGTGCTTAGCACTATGAGAAATAATGTCCTTGCTTCTAGGAAGCTCACAGTGTAACCCAGGAAAAGAACCAGCACATAAATTACCACTAGAGAATGCAGAATAGGGAATTAGCATAGCAATTAAACATACTGACTCTGAAGTCAGCCTGGATCAAAACGCAACTCTACTTCTTACTAGTTAGGTGAATTTGGGCAAGTGAACTTCTCTAACCCTCATTTTCTTATCTGTAAAATGAGCATAATAAATATCATTTTACATAATGGCTGCTACAATTAAAGGAGGTAATATGTGTAAAATCCTAAGCACAATGTTTGGTGTATATAGAAAGCAATGCTTATAAAAAGAGAAAGTGATTATTACTATGGTAGTCTGTTTAGTGTCCCAGGAATAGAAGTTGAAATGGAAAACTTATTCCTTCTTATTGGGATGAGAAAGCTCCCTGATGAAGGTGACTCAAAGAATAAACAGAATTTCAGATATTGAAGACAAAGTAAAAAGCATTCTCAGCATAGAAAATGACATAAGCAAAATGGGAAACTGTAAGGTGTTTGAGGAAAAGGTTAAGTACTTTAGGGTTAGTCACATATGTTCTCCATGATTCTATAAATAATGGGACAAGTAATTATTTTTTTCCTCAAGTGATAATATTTGAGAAGAAGCCATGAAAATCCTTGAGTGTAAGGCCAAATCACCCCTCTGATGAAAAGTGAAAAGCATTAATAGAAATAATTCAGTCAATTTTTTGAAATTTATTGTTAAAATATTTTATTTTTCCAGTTGGCCATGGACATTTCCTGATCTATCAACCAGGGTGGCTTTCTGCCACCTGGTGAACTCTATTAAATTTAACACATTCACTAGTGTTAAATGAATACCTGCAGAATGGCCTGATGCTCAGCAATGATTCTGGCTTTCTCCATACTAACAGTCTGAAGTGTGCAGCTCAGCTCTGAACACTTTTTAGTCAACTGGTCATTCAAAACCTAAGAAAACACACACAGTGATTCACTGGTTTCTCCAATAAAGAATCATTTTTTACTTACGTATCATTATTTTTAATGAATGCATAGTATCTCACTATATATGTGAACCTAATTTATTTAACCTATCCTCAATTCACATTGCATTAGTCTAAAAAATACTTTCAAATATTAAAAGTCTATACTCTACAAAATTATAAATTAAGAGATTTGTTGATTTGGTAGAGCAATTGATGCATACAGCATTTTACTGATCTATTCTTCACAACTTTGAACACTGGTTCATTAGAGCAAGACATCTGCAAAATGGAATTTATAATGTCAGTGCCTAGCCAATATCATAGAAATCCATGAGCATTCAGAATTATTTAGCTGGTAACACAAAATACCTAAGCTCCTTCGCCACCAACTGACAATATTCATAAAAGCAAAATATAATGATTTTACCATCACAGCATTAATCTTTCAAAATAAAACAAAAATCTTTTGAGCTACACAGATCCATCATATATGTAGGTAGTTAACCATTCTCTTTCTTTTCATACTTTGAAATTTGTATTATTGCCAAGAAGATTTATCTCAATTATCAGTTATTTTTGCAAGGTAGATTTAGCAAATAACTTATGTTTTAAACAAGTTCTTCAAGAACAAGAAACTTTGAAGGAACACTATGAAAAAGAAACACAAAAAATAAAATGGAATAAAAGAAAAGATAAATAAAAGACTACGTGGCAAACATCACAAATGGTATGGACAGTACAGTAGTTAGAAACACATTCAGGGGCATAAAGTCGCACCAGATATACAAGCTATTCATCAAGGAATACCTGGGAGTGAAACAGAGGAGAACCCTTGCTCTTTGAAAAGAAATAGCTAATTTTCTTTGGAGCCAGATTACCTGAGTTCAAATTTCAACTCTGCCACCTACTATCTTTGCTCCTGAACTTCTTTGTGTATCAGCTTCCTTATCTTTAAAATGTGAATACCAGTTTCCATTTCATAGGGCAATTGTGAGGATTACAACTTGTTAGTAATATAAGGTGCCTAGAATTGTGCCTACAATGTGGAATGGGCTCAGTAAAAATGTTAACTACTATTAGCATAGGAAGAGTAATAGTAGTTGATGTTATTATATTTAAAAACACATTTTGTATTTTTAAATTATTTTTCTTTATTATAAAGAGAGCCCAGCAACACTATGATCCTAATATTGAGACAATCAAATTGTACCAAGAGAAAAGTTACTTTAAGTGATAAACAATTGTTTGGGCTCTGTGATAAACTCCAGTTTGCCTGCGTATCTGGTGACTCTTCTTGCTGCAGGTGCACATATATATAAAACATCAGCCCGATTTGAGAATCACCATCCCAGAAATGAGTACACATAAACTTTAAAATTCAGTAGACATTTGCTAGGTTCCTACTATGCTATTTACTATAGAAGATACAAAGAAAGTAAGACATAGCCCTTGCCATGGAACTATTCAGAAGTTCACTTTGAAGAGAGAAAGACATATATTTAATGAGAAAATCAGAAAGCAAACAAAGGCAAGTATAAACTAGTGCATAATTTTAGTGGTATAGCTTGTATACTTATACATAATAGGAATTTGGAGAATTAAATGAGAAATGTAGTTAATTTGATAATGTTTCAAAGATGAAATAAGTCTTATAGAAATAAAAAGTTGGGTGATGGAGATGGTATGAATTTATATAATCAAGACTAATTTTGTTTCTTGGTTATTTAATTGAACAAAATTAAATAACATCTAAAAACTAGTGAAAGCATGAAAATTTACTTGTGCTTTTTCTGATGCTTCATGAAGAGATATTATTTCAGACCTCAAATATTCATTTTCTTTGTGTTCCTTGTTGAAAGATATCTGCACATTCTGTAAGGAAAAAATAATAACTCTCTTTTTCACATATAAGAGATATTACATGCACCCCTGTAAAAATAACTGTTTTGTATTTCAGTCAGTACCAGTTCAAGTTCCAATGACATACACTGGAACTTTATAAGTGTCTTATAAAGAATTTATAAAAAATCTTGAAATCTTCAACTCCTGAACTTCTCTTTATTTCTAAATTATTTAATAAAATTGTTTATTTAAAACAATAATGAGATACCACTACATACCTATTACAATGGCCAAAATCTAGAACACTGACAACAACAAGTGTTGTCAAGGATGTGGAGCAATAGGGATTCTCGTTCATTGCTGGTGGAAACGTAAAATGGTACAGCCACTTTAGAAGACAGTTTGGTGGTTTCTTACAAAAGTAAACATATTCTTACCATATGATCCAGTAATCATGCTCCTTGGGATTTACCCAAAGGAGCTGAATACCTATGCCCACACAAAAACCTGCACACAGATACTTACAGCAGCTTTAATAATAATTGCCAAAACTCGGAGCAATCAGGATATCCATGAGTAAGTTAATGGATAAATTATGGTATATCCAGACAAAGGAATATTATTCAGCACTAAAAGGAAGGAAATGAGCTTTTAGCCAGGCACGATGGCTCATGCCTGTAATCTCAGCACTTTGAGAGGTTGAGGCAGGCAGATCACCTGACGTCAGGAGTTCCAGACCAAGTGGCCAACATAGTGAAACGCCTTCTCTAATAAAAATACAAAAATTAGCCAGGAGTGGTAGAGAGCACCTGTAATCCCAGCTAATCGGGAGACTGAGACAGGAAAATCGCTTGAACCCAGGAGGTGGAGGTTGTAGTGAGCTGAGATAGTGCCACTGTACTCCAGTCTGGGTGACAGTGAGACTGTGTCTCAAAAAAAAAAAAAAAAAAAGAAAAATGTGCTATCAAGCCATGAAAAGACATGAAGAAAACATAAGTATTTATTACTAAGTGAAAGAAGCCAGTCTGAATAGCTACAGACTGCGTGATTCCAACTATATGACATTCTGGAAAAGGCAAATTATGGAGACAGTAAAAAGATCAATGGTTGCCAGGGTTTAGTGGGGGAGGGAGGCAGAGCACAGAGGATTTTTTAGAGCAATGCAACTAATCTATATGATACTATAAAACATATCTACTATAATAGTAGATATGTCATTATACATTTGTTTAAATCCATAGAATGCACAACACCAAGAGTGAACCCTAATGTAAACTATAGACACTGGGTGATAATAATGTGTCAATATAGTTTCATCAATTGTAATAATGTACCACTCTGGTGGGGGATGTAAAACGGTGCATCCATTTTTCAAACGGATATCCATCAAATGGCTAATGAGGAAGACTATGCATGAATGGGGCACAGAGCATACAGAAAATCTCCTTACCTTTTGTTCACTTTTGTTGTAAACTTAAGACTGCTCTTAAAAATAAAGCCTATTTTAAAAAAAACCATTACATCTATTTTTATATTGAGATTCCAGTTAGAAAGAATTTGCCTAAAAGCATAACCTAAATATACCTGGTATCTTTATATCAAAGTTCTACTCCCTAAGATTAAGTATCTGTTATGTTATTATACAAACACATTTTTTCCTATTAGTAGTAAGATCTAATGACTTCAAAGGAACACATTCAAAGATCTTTTAAAGTTAAAAGTGAAGTTATTTTCAAAAACGAGGACCCAAGGGTGGAGCAGAAGAAAGCACCTTTGTTCTGTGGTTACAGAAAAAAAAAAAAAAAAAAGCTAGTTTCCTTTGAGATGAGAGAAGTGATACAGATGTGCATTGTAGATGAGGCTTTCCCTAAAAGGTATTTAGTAGAAAGGGGAAGGACAAAGTATAAATCCTCTTCCTACAGAGGAAGAACCACCCTTCTATTTTCCCAGGAGAAGCATCTCAAGAAAAATAAATATCATATAACACAGGATGAGATAGCATCCAAAAGAAATAGAATCAACACATCAACAGATTTAGAAATGTAGTAAGATATAAAATCATATTTATTTTTATTTTTGAGACAGAGTCTCGCTCTGTTGCCAGGATGGAGTGCAGTGGTGTGATCCTGGCTCACTGCAACCTCTGCTTCCTTGGTTCAAGCGATTCTCCTGCCCTAGACTCCCAAGTACCTGGGCCTACAGGTGCTCACCACCATATCCAGCTAGTTTTTGTATTTTTAGTAGAGACAAGGTTTCACCACGTTGGCCAAGATAGTCTCGATCTCCTGACCTCGTGATCTGCCCACCTTGGCCTCCCAAAGTGCTGGGATTACAGGTGTAAGCCACCGTGCCTGGCCAGTCATTTAACTTTAAAAATTATGGCAAAATATACATAAGTCAAAATTTATCATTCAAACCATTGTGAGTGTATAGTTTAGTGTCATTAAATACATTCACAGTTGTGCAACTTACCAACAACAAAAAGTTTTATTTCTTACATTTCATTATTTTATAACAATTAGTTTGCAAAAGGCTTAAGTCTATTAAAATAAGTCTAATAAAAATAATGTCTTATTAATTTGCCAACCGACATTTTTCAAACTCTAGTAACCTTCTTAATACTATTATCCTAAATATACTACTCATTCACATGAAACTTTTTTAAATAAAACTTTTATGAGAATCAGGATTGTAAGCCAACATGGATGAGGAAATAGGACTTAGCAAAGACAGAAAAGACCACCTCTGTACTCCACAACTTCAAAACTTACCTTATTTTCTTCAACCAATTTGGAAATGAGATCATCTCTAGAAACTAAAAACAAACATTTCACATAACTATGATAACAGTAACTTGCTACATTGAAATCACAGTGAGAAGCTTTAAATTTTTTATGTCTATTTTTTGTAGAGATAAGAACCCAACTATTTCCATCATATTTTTATAGATTAGAAACTGTTATGGAATTATCAAGAAACTAGTCCACAGTCATTTGCAATGGTAAATGCGGTCTCTGAAGGATGTTATGCTGAGAAGGAGTATGATCAAAGGATATGTGTTAGTGAGATCACTCTAACAAAGGTACAATAAAGGAAAGGAGATGAATTTAGTAGCTGTTAAAGTAACTGACATATGAGTAAATGACAATTCAATAAAGTAATGACAATAAGGACTATCTCTCACTGGTCATGACAACAAAGATGCAGAGGAAAAACAGATATATGAAACAGTAAACAGAGAGCACTTTAGGACTTGGTGGCTTACTGGTGGGGTAAAAGCAGCAAATGAGACAAGGAGAACAACTAGCATTCAGACTTGGGCAGCAGGGTGAACAGTGGACTCTTCAGGTACATAGGGAATACAGAGCATGGAGCAGGTAAAGAAAGAGTGAAACACTTAAGTTTTTCACGTTTTGACATCTGCAAGGTATCCAAATGCAGATATTTAGCTGACAGTAACATACTGGTCAAGAACTGAGGATGACTTTGCATGGAAAAAAAGATTGGAAACCACTCAGAGCATATATAGTGAAAAGAAAACCAAAGACAGAAAATTGTGGAACAGTTTGGCATTATATACCAGTAGCCAAAAAGTGTAAACTTATCTGAGAGTAATTGCCTTCACAGAAAAATTCACAGAGATCAGTTTTGTTTCACTTAAATATTCTAAAGCCAGAAATTATAAAACACATAAAACTCACATTTTATATAGGATATACCTTTGAAAAACTATACTTTTTGAATATACGAATACTCGGAATAAACTCTAATTTAAAATATACGAAGGATAAAAAAGATGAACTATATGACTTTTTTTGGAAAATTCTACTAACCAAAATAAGAATAGAAGTGTTTTACTTGGAAGAACAATTTATTCATTTTAAGTACTATAAATATGTATGTAAATGCTTATTGTTAATAAACTTGATTACATTTTTAATCCATTGAAGCAAATATTCAAAGGCATGTCTTTTATTAATGTAGTTCGAACAACTAATTGTACCTTTAAGTAATAAAATATATGTCAAGTCTATAATTCAATATATGTCAAGTCTATAATTCAATATTATGCATCTAGTTGGCATTCAGACAGACTTCCTTTTCCTTGTGTCAGTTTGAAATTGTGTTTTAATCTTCATTTTTAATGGTCTTGCACAAACTCTTTATAAAATTCAAAAATAAAGCATTAATCCAACAAGAAAGTAACATAAAAATTCAGAGGGCCAACTAATATAATAGAAAGATAACTGTTCTAGGTCCAGCTATTCACTTGCTGTGGGTCTTTGGGTACAGTCAGTGTAGATCCTTTTCTATCTTCTACGTAATGTGTATATCTTCTTATCTTTCTGAAAAGGTTGCTGCAGTGCTCAAACGAGATAATGTGGCAGCATCATAAAATGTACATGTATTTTTGTAGGCACACAATTACAGAAAGACAGAAAATTATCCAGGGGCATTGTCAGTGAGAACTTCACACAGTAATTTACTACTGTAAGAAAAGGGAATATTTTCTGCTAAAAGCAGTAAGTCAACACATTGAATAAATTACTCTTGCTCTATTATTTTTTATCACTTCCATTTCCTTTTTGGTATTATCAGCCCCCATTACAGCCACAGAGCAGAAAAGGTGAACTGGAGAGAACACTAGGCTTGGAGTTAGGAGATCCAGGTCTAGGTTTTACTTTTTCATTTTTTTTTCCTTTTGTAACTCTGGGAAATATGAATAGCTTTGAGTACTGAATGAAATAATTTATGTGAAAGCTCAGTGTAAACCATGATGTATTAGTCACATGAAGCACTGCACTATAACTCTGTGACCTCTATCATTGAGACTATCTGGAAACTGCTTTACAGTAAAGTACTAGCAACAGTGGTATGATAAAGGGCTGATGGGTTACAATAAACATGACTGAACACCTTGGGATCAAGTCTAGGCTGTTTCATTTCCTGGCTCTGTCACCTTTGAGGATTTATCTATAAAAAGAGGAGATTAAGCTCTCTTTAAGGTACCTTACAATTTCCATGTCTACAAATATATGTTAACCAAAATAGATTGATAACACGAAGAATGGAGAATCTGACATGATGAATTGACAGAATCAGTAAGTTATCAAGGATTCATGGCCTTATTATTTTATTATCCAATATTCAATCTATTGTTTTACTTTTTTGCCAAATATTAAATCCAGATGTCTAGAAACCAAATATTCCCAAGTCCACAAAAAAGCTGGAAAAAAACTAAATAAGGACTTGTTTACAATTAAAAGGGCCAAATCCATTATTAACAACATTCCTTTCTAACTCAGTACTACAGGTAGAAGGGAAATCTGCAATTTTTTACATACAGCACTGTGGAAAATACCAGTAACACTTGCCACTTTAAGAATGTGGGATCTTAAGAGTTTTTCGATGAAATCTCAAAAAACAAACAAGAAGCTGATTTCCAGCATCTAGTTTCATACTTAGATCAGATTTGAGCTGTGAAGTAGCAGTCTCCAACTCTTCTTTTTTTTTCTGTTCCTGGGCCAGTAGTTCTTGAGTGCTCTGTATAGAATCCCGTAGAGCAATGCAGTTTTGCTGCAAAATGTGCACCTGAAATTGCATCAGAAAAACTCCTTTTCTGTAAGATAAAGATTTCTAATAAACTACCTTATATCACATGTGTAAGGAACATTCCAATCTTAATGTCACTGAGAAGCAACAAGAAGTTAGTCTATGTTACAGTTAAAATCTCAATAAAATGCGGTCTTGGAGCGGTGCCACCCAATAGAACCTTCTGTGCACTCTCCAATGCAAACAGTCCACTAGCCACACATGGCTACTGAATACTTGAATGTGGCTAGTGTGTGAAGAAATAAATATTTTATTTAACTGATTTAAATAGCCAAATGTGGCTAATGGTTACCATATTGGCACTGCAAGTTAGAGCAACAAAGGGTCATTTGTAAATTCCTAAAGTAGAATCTTAGTTATAATTCAGTTATGAAGAAAAACCATTGGTTAAAAGATTATATCATCCAAAAAAATTATTTTAAAATATGAAAATATCAATTGACTCAGAATTTAAAGTATGCTAAATTGTATGTAGATACTTCAAATAATAAATACGAAGGTAAAAATATGTTAAAATAAATAATGATAATTGAAAACAGCAGTGTAAACATAGTCCTGATTGTTTTACTTATTGATAACCTTTGCTTCCAGTGTTAGATCAGTTTAGCCTTTCTTTTTTTTTTTTTTTTTAATTTATTTTATTGCATTTTAGGTTTTGGGGTACATGTGAAGGACATGCAAGATTGTTGCATAGGTACACACGTGGCAGCGTGATTTGCTGCCTTTCTCCCCATCACCCATATTTGGCATTTCTCCCCATGCTATCTCTCCCCAACTCCCCACCTCCCACTGTCCCTCCCCTATTTCCCCCCAACAGACCCCAGTGTGTAGTGCTCCCCTCCCTGTGTCCATGTGTTCTCATTGTTCAACACCCGCCTGTGAGTGAGAACATGTGGTATTTAATCTTCTGCTCCTGTGTGAGATTGCTGAGAATGATGGTTTCCAGGTTCACCCATGTCCATGTCAGACATACACAGCATGAGACCAGGGCAATGCCTTCCAAAATCAATCTCTATAGCAGAAAGTGGATAGTATAAGGCAAAGATATCTTTCCTTAGGAGCCAAGAGTCCACCTCTATAAAGCCTGAGGTAAATTAACCTCTCTGGTCCTTAGCTCTCTGATTTATAAATTAAGAGCATTTAATAATGACATTAGGGTCTTTCTTATTTTGCACTAACTTAAAAAAACTGTAGTAAGATTGTTAACATATTACTAACAAAAAGTAAATATTTTAGTAAATCTAGAGGAAATTAGTAAAATGTTAAGTTTATAGGTAAAATATCAATTTTTGTTTGGTTTCACATTCCAAATATACATAAGGAGAGGAATTCTTTCTACCTGTTTTCGTTCTACCTCCACTGTTGATGCCATTTCTTGTATTTTGAGGAGCATGGCTGATCCTGATTTCTCTAAAGATTCCCTAAGGTACTTCTCCTGAGCCAGTTGTCTCCTTAGCTACAAAGCAACACTGCAGTTAGGTAAGACCAACTGAACATCATACTATTTCAACAAACATCAAAGTTACCTAAGAAGTTTGTCAGACATGCCATCTCACCCCCCAACAGTCTTAATTCATTTATGACTACTCAGAAACATGCTTTTGTTTCTCCCTGGATTACCTAGGAATACCTCCTAAGGAATGTAGATCAAAATTTATTGCTCTCATCCTCCTATAGTTTAGGTCTGTTTTCCAAACTGGAGGTTAAAACCCATTCGTAAATTGAAAGAAGCGCTTAGAAAAAGGGGGAAAAAAAGACTAGAAAAAAAGATCAGAGTACATAGGAAGTAGTAAGGGGAAGTTCTGCTTTGTGAAATGTTTGTGTATATATGTATGTGTGTTGCAGTGTAAAATATATGTCCAACAATGGATTGTCAAAAAAAAGTTTGAAAAACACTAGTAATTCTTTGTGTATTTTCTGTATTTCTATATTTTCTGGCTTTATTTTTCAATTCTAATTTTCCTGTATTTTGATTTATCTATATATTTTTTATCCTTCAGTATTACAAATCTCTCTCTGAAAACTGTTTTCATTCTGTTTTGGAATTTAGAGTTCTAAACAAATAATGAAATAACCATTAAGTAGCAGACAAAACTGATACTCAAAGAATTTAGGTGCTGTAATATTGTGATATAATAAGAAATATATATTTAGTCTCTGACCCTGGTTCCTAGCACATAGCTCATAAAAACCTTGGAATCACCTCAAAAGAGTGTCTTTTGTGTGCTAATGAATTATTGGCTGGGGTGGGGGAAGATAGGTAGCTGTGGTGGGGGCTGGTCCCCAGAAAGACCAAGGCATGATTAGAGGATTGGGACTTCTAGCCCTCCTTTCAACCTCTAATGATGGGAAAAGGGCTGTAAGGGAAGTTGATCATCAGTGGCCAATGATTTAATCAATCATGTCTATGTAATGAAGCCTCCATAAAATTCAGAAGAACTAGGTTCAGAGTGCTTCTGGATAGCTGAACACATGGAGGTGCTTGGAGGGTGATGAGCCCCAGAAAGGGCCTGCGCCCCTTCCCACATGCCTTGCCCTAAGCATCTCTTTCATCTGGCTGCTCAACAGTATCCTTTGTAATGTCCTCTATAACAAATGTGTGTAAATGAAGTGTCTGAATTCTCTGAGCTATTCTAGCAAATTACTGAAACTTGTGGAGAGGCATCATAGGAACACCGATTTTTTGCAAGTCAGTTAGAAGGACAACTTGGGGCTTGCAATTGGCATCTAAAGTGGGGGGCAATCTTGTGAGACTGAATCATCACCTATCTCCAGGTAGATAGTGTCAGGACTCAATTGAATTAATTGAGGACACTCAACTGGTGTCCACGAAGATCAGAATTTCTTGGTGTGTCACTGGGTGTCAGAACTGTTGTGCTGTGAGGTATGTAAGAGTGGAAAAACACACTTTGGTTTTTTTCCCTATTTTGGAGGCACACTGACCTTATTTCTGTCAATAAATGACTATAAAAAGAATCACACAAAATAAAAAGAAGGTTAAGCGTCTCTTTCATTATTAGGTAAAGAGATCCCTTCCAATTGAAACGGGAATTGCAGAGAATGCTATTCCTTTTAAGAAGTGATGTGAAACTGAAAGATGTTCTATTTTAAAATATCACTGTAGATGACATTGAGTACCCTCTACCTGTTTTCTAAATTGTACACATATTTTTTCCTCTATGGATAATATATTTTATATTTTTTAAAATGTTTCTTAAAAGTTAAAAAAGGTTAAAAATGTGTTGGGGTAAAACTATTACAAGATTGATCATTTTGGAAATGCTCTATAACTTTTTAAATCATATCCTTGATAAAATGACATACAGGTTTTTCCAATTTTTCACTATTCTAAATACTGCTCTCCTGAACATACTTGTGAGTAGAACTTTCCTTACTTTTCTGATTATTTCCTTAGGACAAATTCCTATAAGAAGAATCACTAGGTTAAAGGTATAAATGTTTTTAAAAATTTTTGATACATACTGTAATTTTCTAATTATTACCTTCCTATCTTACTATTTGAATAAATCTCATCAGTACTATGTATTAAAATTTGCTTAAATCTCTTCTGATGTAATAAATGAAAACTAACATCTTAATATTTCTGTATTTCTTTGGTTACTATGAGATATCTTCTAATATTGTTATCAGCTCTTTATATATTAATAAACTGTCAATACTTATCCTTTGTCCATTTTTTAGGGGGTATTTTTAGATAATTTTATGGTTTTTTTTGAGTTTTTTTTTTTTTTTTTTTGAAACAGGGTCTCACTGTGTCAACCAGGTTGAGTGAAGTGGTACAACCATGACTCATTGCAGTCTTGACCTCCCAGGCTCAAGTGATCCTCCCACCTCAGCCTCCTGAGTACCTGGTACTAAAGGAGTGTGCCACCATGCCCAGCTGATTTTAAAAATTTGCTATTGATCCAGGGTCTCACATTGTTGCCAAGGCTGGTCTCAAATTTCTGGGCTCAAGTGACCCTCCTGCCTTAGCCTCCCAAAATGCTGAGATTACAGGTATGAGCCACTGTGCCTGGCAGTTTTGAGTTTTGGGGGGGTTTTTGGAGACAGGATCTCACTCTGTGGCCAAGGCTATAGTGCAGTGGCATGATCACTGCAGCCTCAACCTCACAGGCTCAACTGATCCTTCCACCTCAGCCTCCTAAGTAGCTGGGACCACAAGTGTACACCACTGTGCCTGGCTAATTTTTTTTTTTTTTTTTTTTTTTGGTAGAAATGGAATTTTGCCATGTTGCTCAGGCTAAGTTCTTTAAAAGGGAAGACTATTAACTCTTTGCCTAGTTGTGTTATAATGCCTTATTACAGGAGTCCCCAACCCCTGGGGCCACAGACTGGTACTGCTCTGTGGCTTGTTAGGAACCAGGCCACAGAGCAGGAGGTGAGCAGTGGGTGAACCAGCCCTACCGCCTGAGCTCTGCCTTCTGTCAGATCAGTGGCAGCATTAGACTATCACAGGACCATGAACTCTAATGTGAACTGTGCAAGCAAGGGATCTAGGTTGCGTGCTTCTTTTCAGAATCTAACTAATGCCTGATGATTTGAGGTGGAACAGTTTCATCCCAAAACCATTCCCCTCAACTCCCCAACCCCATGGAAAAACTGTCTTCCACAAAACTGGTCCCTAGTGCCAAAAAGGTTAGGGACTGCTGCTTTATTAGTTTTGCTTTTTATATGTAGAAGTATTCTTCTACATATAAAGGTCAGTGGTCAAATCTACTGACCTTTTTATAATTCCATTCTTTTTAAGCTTAGAAATTGCGTATTTACTCAATGATATGTTAAACATTACAATCTTATGTAAGAATGAGCCATTTTATTTGTGGTTATATTTTTTCAGATTTTAGTATCAGATTATAATTATATAGAGTAGCTTAGTATACTTTTCTAAACTTTGTGTCAAATTATACAATTTGTTCAAGATAAAATTTATTCCTTGAAAGTTTCAAAATACTCACCCAGGAAATTATCTCATTTAAATTTTAGTTGCATCACTGTCAAATGTGATTCAATCTCTAGTTCATTCGGAATTAAATATTTCACTCTTTTAAATTCTGTGTTAATCACTCCTATTGTGTATGCTTCAAAGCATTCAGCTAGCCACCTTTTTAAAGAATGGCCACTTTCAAACACAGACATTTTCCTCTCTTATACATGGGCCACTTTCAAAAACAGACATTTTCCTCTCTTATACATGATATACCTATAATGTGCTGTACAAAAGCATATTGCAAAGAGAATGCTTTAATACTGAAGTATTTATTTCTGAAGTACTATTAAGGGCAATCAGTTAATCCATTGAATGTTTATCATATCCAGATTTTGTGTCTATCTTATATTTATTATATCTTAGGAAGATAAATACCACACTTCTTCTATCTGTATATAATCCTCTGTCATAGGCTGATTGTGTCCTCTAAAATTCTTACGTTGAAGCCCAACATCTGCTACCACACAAGGAGACTTTATTTGGAGATAGGGCCTTTCTACAGGCGATTAAATTAAAACAAAGCCACTGGGGTGGACCCTAAACCAATCTGACTATATCCCTCTTAGAAAAGATTTAGACACACAAAGACACCAGAGATGGGTCTACACAAAGAAAAGAGCATGTGAGGACCCCGTTAGAAGGTGGACACCTTCAAGCCAAGGAGAAAGGCCTCAAGAGAAACCAAATCTGCTAACACCTTGACTTTGGACTTCAAGACTCCAGAACATATAAATAAACAAATTTCTGTTTACACCACCAAGTCTTTAGGACTTTGTTATGGCAGCCCCGCAAAATAATACACCCTTTCTATTTCACATGGCCTCAGAATGCCCATGTTTGACTAGCGTAGTACTTCTGCATGTCTTTGACAGAGTTTAATCAAAATTCAAGACTTTACCATAGAACCAAGAATTAAGAATAAGACTTTCCTAGTAAAAAATAATGTTAAGTGGCAATCCAAAAGAGAAAAGATTGTCTTTTCAACAAACAGTGCCAGAAACACTGGACATCCATATACCAAGAAGAAATTCATCTAGATACAGATCTCATACCTTTCATAAAAATCAGCTCAAAATAGATCAAAGACCTAAATGTAAAATGAAAACCTACAAAATCTCTTAGAAGATTATGCAAAAGAAAATCTAGGTGACTTGGGTTTGTTGACTTTTTAGATACAATTCTAAAATTACAATCCATGAAAGAAAAAATTGATATACTGGACTTCATTAAAATTAAAAGTTCCTGTTCTGTGAAAGACAACTAAAAGCATAAAAAGATAAGCTATGCAGTAGGGGAAAATATTTGTGTAACACATCTTTGATAAAGGACTGGTACCCAAAATATACAAAGAACTCTTAAAACATAACAGTAAGAAATAACCCAGTTAAAAAATGGGGTAAAAGTCTAACAGATAACTCACCAAAGGAGATATACGGATGGCAAATAAACACATGAAAAGATGCTCAATGTCATTATATCATTAGGGATTGCAAATCAAAACAAGATACCACTACACATCTATTGGAATGGCAAAAAATTCAAAACACTGACAAGACCAAATGCTGGTGAGGATGTGCAGTAACCATAACTCCTATTCCTTGCTGATGGGCATGAAAAATGATACAGCCATTTTGTAAGACAGGTTGGCAGCTTCATGCAAAGCTAAACATAGGCTTACCAGATGATCCAGCAATTATACTCCTAGGTATTATATTTACTCGAAAAAGCAGCAAACTTATGTCTACGTAAGAACCTGCACACAATGTTTACAGCAGCTTTACTCATAATTGCCAAAAATTGGAAGCAAACAATATGTCCTTGAATAGGTGAATGGATAAACAAATTGTGGCACATACAATAGAACACTGTTCAGCTATATAAAGAAATGAGTTACTGAGCCAGGAAAAACCATGATAAAAAAGAAGTCAGTACAAAAAGGCTACATACTTACTGCATGATTCCAACAATAACACAACTACAGAGACAAAAAAAGAAAATCAATCGTTGTCAGGGGCTTCGGGGAAGACATGAGGAGGGATGGGTAGGTGGAGCACAGGGCATTTTTAGGGCAGTGCATCTATTCTGTGTGATCCCATAATGATGAATACATGGCATTACGCATTTGTCAAACCCACAGAACTTTACGGCATGATGAATAGTGAATTTTAACATACTTCACTAAATGATGGCTCAATATTGGCTCGTCAAATGTTACAAAAGTACCATACTAATGCAAGATGTTAATAATAGGGAAACTACAGGAGTGGAGAGAAGGGTATAGAGGAACTCCGTGTTTTCTGCATCATTTTTCTGTGAACCTAAAACTGCCCTAAAAATAGTCTATTAAAATATCTTAAAAATAATACATTCTAACTATGAACAATCAAGCTTTTATCAGAAATTACTGGCAAATAAAATACTCAATGTAAGACAATTTTCCAAATACTGATGCTTACCACCTAAGCACTAAAATTTAGAACCTTAAAAATAATTTTGCATAAGAATTTTCCTTAAAAATATGTCTACTTCTCTATTTTGTATAACAGAATCTTTTAAATATAATTTGACCCACTTAATTTGAACTAACAAAAATTATTAATACCATTATATCACGGAATATTGAGGTTTCAGGCCGCTGCCAGAATATACTGAGTTAGTAATTATACTGATTCTTCCACTGTTTTCAGCTGCAAATTTTTAGTCCAACAGCTTTTAGCAGCCACCTACTTCATATTTCCCAATCTGCTATCGACTAAAACAAGCTGAAATGAAAGTTTAAGGTAAAATTAGATGAGCAGACTTACTAATAACTTTTTATTTTAAATACAACTTTAGATTAAAAGGCCTTTGCATGAAAGCGTCCACTTAACTACAGTATAGGGGCTGCCACAAGTGATAACTATTTCCTTCCTGGCTCACAGAGCATTTATTTTTTATTTCTAGTTTTATGGCAGTATTGAGGTAAAAGGAAGTCTTAATGTCATATAAGGGCAGAAACTTTCACTTGAATTCAATGTGGCATATTTTTAAAGTCTCCCTACTACATAGTCACATATTTCCTTCTTCAAACGTTTCTTTTCATTCTCTCTTTCAGCTTTCTTGATTTCCCTAGTGCAATTCCAACACCTCCTCCACCCTCCATCTTTTTGTCTTACCTCCTGAATTTTAAGGTTCATTTTACGTTTTGTGGTCTTCAGTTCCTCTTCAATAACTGCTGCATTCTTCTAAAAGTAGAAGGAAAAAAGGTTCTAAATAATCTGAAATGACAGGAAAAAATTGTCTATAGGTATTATTGGATCAAATCAGGTTTTTTTTTCTGGCAACCTATACATACATGCCATTTTTAATATGGTTATACCTCTTTGTTATAAGCCCAAAGTAATTATTACCCTGAGTTATTTAGCAGGAAGGTTATTTTATTACATATAAGGTTATTTTATTATATATGCATATTATATATACATGATTTCTATAATTTCCTCTTTTATATCATAAATAGTGGTTAATTACACCCACCTCCTATATAAGATTCAGTAATTAACGGATAATCTGGTAATCAAAAGACATTTTACTTACAGGGTAAATTCTTAATTTTTTTAAGAACTCTATTTTTTCCACCTTCAAATATTATTCATGCTTATGAGCTGAGGATAAAAGCTTTCCCTACTTATTCTCTTTTTTATTAAGATGAATGGCACCACAATCTCAGATGTAAAGGCTCAGAGCCATCTTTGCCTTCCTTACTGCCACCAGTTCCTCCCAGTACCATATTCTAACATATCTTTTTTTTTTTTTTTTAAAGAATATTCTTCTTTCTTTTCAAAATGCCACAACCCTAGATCAGACCTAATTTGGCTCATGCCTCAAATAATGCCATGGATTCCTAATTGGTTTCCCTGCCTCCAAGTTCTCTATTTTCAATATCCTGTAATACTGCTAAATTTGTTTTCCTGTTTTCATTATGTCACTTCCATATCAAAAATCTTAATCTTTCAAGTAGTTGGGGTTGATCCTATGGGGAGTGCTGCCTTGAAAGGATCAACCTCAACTACTAATTATTATTGACTTTGAGCTGCTCTATGTCATTGCTAGCTAATACCCAACTTATTTCCCACAAACAAATCCTCACTCTTGAAAGACTAGTTTATACATTTCCCCTAGCTGTACCCAGTAGAAACATCTGGGTTCAAACCTGAGTAACAAGAAGATGACAGGCATGTGTGATCTTAGACAAGTGATTTCTCCCAGGGAGCCAGTACTATCATTGTTAAAAAATAGGAACAGTAATATCCTACTTCCCAAGGTTTTGCAAAGATTAAACAAAATAATACGTTGACCATCGATTATGTTGCCTAGCCCATGAAGGGAGAACAGCATTGTCAGTTTCTTTTCCAAGGAGTCCTTATTCTTTGCTGCCTCTGCATATGCTCCTTGAAATTTCCTCACCCCTATACTTTGCTTCTAAAGGTCCTATCCCTTTCCTGAAGCCTACCTAATCTATTCTAGATAGGGCGTGCTCACCCTTTCAGACATGTCTGAACACAAAGCCCTTACTCGGCAATATTCACTTTTTGTCCTATACTATACCGTAACATTTCCTATACTCCTATTTTTCCCTTATTGAATTTTTCATGCTGTGGCTTGTTCTCCCAATAAGCATAAGAGTTCCTGAAGAGCACAGGCTCTGTCTCACACCTCTGGACCCTTACCATCACTTGTATGGGGTAAATGTTGTCTAAATAATCAATCACGGACAGCACACAGTGGTTTAGGTTATCAATGCAAATGTCATAGGCCAAGAGTCCTCAAATCAACATGTCAAATGTCAAATGCCGAGAATCTTCATATCAACATCACCTATTTTTAAAAGTCAGTGTCATAGGTCTGTTGCCTCCTCCAGCTAACACATAACAGCGCGTACTTCAGGACTCTAGACTCAAACCTTTGTTTGCGAGGCAATCTCCAGAGTGGCAGTCAACCTTTGCACCTCATCTTGTGCCTTGTCTTCTTCCTCTTTTACAGCTCTCAGTTGCTGGCGCAAATTCATAACTTCGAGATGTAACAGTTTCAGGTCCTTAGAATGCTCGTCCTGTACTGTATTCAGTTGATCTTTCAGAAAAGCTACCAGATAGCACAGGAGGGACATCAAGCAATAGAAAGTCAGTAAAGGAAATCAAGCACCTACACAGGACCAAATTTCTGATGATTCTTATCTCTATACCTGTTTTCTGAGGATTCAAATCCTTTTCAGTTTGCAGGCGAAAGATGTTCATCTTCAAGGACTGAATGAGGCTTTCAAGACGGCACATTCGATTTACCAGAAACTCACAGTTCTTCCATAAAATGTCAGTTTTTCCTGCACAAATTACTTCATTTTGAATAGGACTAATGACTTTCTGGCTCTCCAGGTCTTCTAAACAGCTTGGAGTTTCCAACTGGCCTCTGGACAAAGATCCCAATAAAACAATATTATGCAATGCAATTTCTACTACAGTAATCCCAACAATTGAGTCAATGTAATATTTCCAGTTAAGAATAACTGGAGCGTGACATCACCAACATGGCAGGTCTCTGACTCTCCCTCCATGTAGGGATACACTAAATAAACATCTATTCACAGATCTATTCCCTCTGAGACAAAGTCAGAAACAAGTTGAGAGACTCTTCTGTATCTGGCAACTGAGAAAATACTCACATTGACTAGGTAGGAAAAGCTGAGGCACACTCAGGCCCAAACTCCACTCCAGGCACTGTAAGAAGGTATCCCCAACACCCACCCTTTCCCTGAGGAGAGTAGGGTTTGGACCACATATTTAGAGCCCTAACTCTAAGATTCCCCACAGTGTGGCTCGATTCACCTGGCTCTAGGGGCAGAAGGGATTAGGCATACATGAGTCTCCCTAGACTGTAGAACAAAGAGGTGATTATACATGGGTGTGTAAGCATTTACAGAGGCTTCATCCCCCAGGATCAGGGTAGAGAAAGGACTAAAACTCAAAGCTCCCAGTTTCTGCTTAGAAGAGGTTTGCCAGTGTACTCTGTCAACTGCTGCTGTTAAGAGTGGAGTTTCATACAAGCCTGCACCAGAGAATTAACTGGGCTGACAAACAGCAACCTTTGGCAGCCCCCAAACCTATTCCCCTGGCTCATTCCATCAATAACTCCACTCTACCACTTCCTCCTGGAAAAAGTTTTTCCATGTATCAAGTGCCCCAACTTTTAAAACTTCTACTTGAGGGACTGCATCCTAAATATCCTAGCTCTAGGGGTAGAAAGGATTAGGAATACAAGACTCTCATATGAGACTCACGGGTTGCAATACCAGGAGGTGGTTTTAAACAGGAGTGTAAGCAGTTACAGGGACTACCCCTCTTGGAAGCAGTGAAGAGAAAGTGATAAAACACAGTTTTGCTTTTGTCTAAAAAGGATTTCTCTGTACATGCTTCCAGTGAATAATTGATGGTCTGGCTTCTAACTAACTTACATCAGGGAGTTAATGGGGCAGGCAAACAATACACCTCCGGCAGTCTAAATGAGAGCTTGGTACTTGCCAAGATTTCTCCCCTAGCTTGCCCCAGTGATAACTCCAAGTCTACAGAAGCTTCCTATACGTAGTTTGTCCACTCATCGAGTGTCGTAACTTCTACAGCTCTCATACAAGGACTACCTCCTTAGACATCCAGCTCTGGGAGCTGATTTGGCTCTGCATTTCCAAGTATCTTTAGGCCACAGAAAACAAAGAGGTAGATATACAATGGGCCCACTTCCAGTGGCCATATCCTCACAAGATGCAGTCTGAATGACAGTACTATAGGTATTTGCCACAGAGCTTCTCCCTGGCTTAAAGAGAGAAAAATGCCTGCCTTTGCGCAGATAGATAATGCCTGCTTTAGTGCAATAAGGGATAAATACCTGCTCTCAGCTTCACCCTGCGGATAGAAGGAACTGGAACCTGCATCTAACACTGCAATATTTTCGGCTGCATCTAGAGAGCATAGCTTCTGTCTTACCGCTCTCATGATACTAACAAGACTTGGCACATCTTAATCTTCTGGGGCCACCAAAAATAGAGAGATCGGATTGTACAAATACAGAGATTTGAGAGATGTATTATAATTTCTGGCTATATGAATTGGTAAGATCTCCTACACGAGGGCCAGTTTGACAAGACTGGGAGAGGTTACTGTCTTATTCAATCCACAGAAACCAACACAGGGCTTTAAAAAAAAATGAAGACATAGGAAAATGTTCCAAATAAAAGAACAAGATAAATCTCCAGAAACCAATCCTACTGAAATGGAGATATGTGGTTTATCCAGGAAGACATTCAAAATAATGGTCATAAAGATGCTCACCAAGGTCAGGAAAATAATGCAAGAACAAACAGAATTTCAACAAAAGACAGTAAGAAAGTATAAAAAAGTACCCAACAAATCATATAGTGAAGAATACTATAATAAAACTGAAAAAATTCAATAGAGGGGCTCAATGACAGACTATATCAAGTGGAAGTGAATAAGTAAACCTGAGGACAGGTCACTGAAAATCATCCAACGTGAGAAGCAGAAAGAAAAAAATGGAAATGAGTAGATAGTTTATGGAACTTATGAGATACCATCAACAGAACAATATGCCCATGATCACAAGTGCAGAAGACAAAGTAAAAGGAACAGAAAACGCATTCGAAGAAATAGCAAAAACACTTCCCAAGCCTGGGGAATGATATAGAAATCCAGATCCAAGAAGCCTAAAGGATGACAAATAAGATGAATTCAGAGTTTCATAGTCCCATACTTAGACACTTACACAGTTTGGACATTTGTCCCCTCCAAATCTCACGTTAAAAAGTGATTCCCACTGTTGGAGGTAGGGCCTTGGCGGGAGCTGTTTGGGTCATGGGGCAGATCACTTATGAGTGGCTTGGTAATGAGTGAGTTCTCACTTTTAGTTCACACAGAGTTGGCTGTCTAAAGGAGCATGGCATCTCCTTCTCTCTCTCACTCCCTGTTTTACCATGTGACTCACCTGCTCCCCCTTTGCCTTCCACCATGATTGTAAGCTTCTTGAGGCCCTCATTAGAAGGTAAACAGATACTGGTGCCATGCTTTTATAGCCTGCAGAACTATGAGCCAAATATATGTCTTTTCTTTATAAATTACCCAGCCTCAAGTATACCCTTATAGCAGCACAAAATAGACTAACACAGAAAGTTGGTAATAGAGAGAAGCACTGGCATAAAGATACTTGAAAATGTAAAAGCAGCTTTGGAAATGGGTAATGGGCCTCCACTGGAAGAGTTTGGAGGGCTAAGAAGAACACAGGAAAACAAGGGAAAGTGGAACTTCTTAGAGACTTAAGTGGTTCTAACAAAAATGCTGCTAGATATGTAGACAGAGGACAGGCTGATGAAGTCTCAGATAAAAATGAGGAAGTTATCGGAAAATAGAGTAAAGGACACCCATGTGACACCCTAGCAAAGAACTTGGCTGCACTATGTCCATGTTCTAGGGATCTGTGGAAGTTTGGATTTTTTTTTTTTTTTTTTTTTGAGACAGTCTTGCTCTGTCTCCAGCTGCCAGGCTGGAGTTCAGTGGCTTGATCTCAGCTCACTGCAATCTGCCTCCCAGGTTCAAGCAATTCTCCTGCCTCAGCCTCCTGAGTAGCTAGGACTACAGGCACGCACCACCACGCCCAGCTAATTTTTGTATTTTAGTAGAGATGGGGAAGGACTACAGGTGCGCAACACCACGCCCAGCTAATGTTTGTATTTTAGTAGAGATGTGGTTTCACTACGTTGGCCAGGATAGTATTGATCGCCTGACCTCATGATCCACCCGCCTCGGCCTGCCAAAGTGCTGGGATTACATGCCAGGGAGTTTGAATTTAAGAGTGATGTCCTAAGGTATCCGGCAGAAGAAATTTGTAATCAGTAAAATGTTCCAAAAGTGACATGGCTGTTTTTAACAGCCTACAATTAGATGCAGGAGCAAAGAAATGGTTTAAGGTTGAAACTTACATTGAAAAGAGAAGTACAGTATAAAAATTTGGAAATTTTACACCCCAGCCATGTGGTAGAGAAAGAAAGAGAATTTTCAGGAAAGGAATTCAAGTGGCCTATGGAACAACCATTTGCTAGAGAGATTAGCATGACTAAAAGGAAGCCAGATACTAATAGCCAAGACAATGAGAAAAGGCTTTGAAGGCATTTCAGAAATCTCTGAAGCAGCCCCTCTTATCACAGTCCCAGAGGCGTAGGATGTAAGAATGATTTGGGGGACTGGGTGTCACTGCCCTGCACCACCTCAGGAGTGTTGCCCACATCCTGGCTGCTCTGGCTCTCACTATGGCTCAAAGGGCCCCAGATACAGCCTAGGCCACTGCTTCAATGGACACAGGCCATAAGCCTTCGCAGTTTCCATGTGATGCTAAGCTTGCAGACATACAGAACGTTAAGAATGAAGGAGGCTTAGCAGCTTCCACCTGGATTTCAGAGGATTTTTGAGAAAGCCTGGATGCCATGCAGAAGCTCTCTGCAAAGACTCTGCCCCTGCAGCAGGCTTCTGTTAGGGCAGTACTGAAGGGAAATGTGGGGTTGGAGTTCCTACAAACAGTCCTGCCCAGGGGAGCTGTGGGAATGAACCCACCCTCCAGACCTCAGAAGGATAGAGCCACTGGCAGCTTTCACTCTGAATCTGTAAAAGCCACAGGCACTCAACTTCAACCCTTGAGAGCAGCCATGGAGGCTGCAACCTGCAAAGCCAGGGGGGCAGAGCTGCTCAAGGCCTTGGGAGCCCACCTGGCACACCAGCGTGCCCAGGATGTGGGAAACAGAGTCATAGATTGTTTTGGACCTTTAAAGTGTGGAAACTGTTGCTCTTTTCTTTTAGCCAATTTCTTCCTTTTGGAATGGGAACGTTTACCCAATGTTTGTACCACATTATATCTTGGAAGTAAATAACTTTCTTTTTGTCTTACAGGTTCATAGGTAGAAATAACTTGAGTCTCAGGTGAGACTTTGGAATTTAGACTTGTGACTTTTGAATTAATGCTGGAATAAGTTAAGCCTTTAGGGAACTATTGAGAAAGGATGTTATTTTGCAGTGTGAGAAGGACATGAGATTTGGGGTAAAAGGGTGGAATGTTAGTTTGGATATTTGTCCCATCCAAATCTCATGTTGAAATGTGATCTCCCATTGTTGGAGGTAGGGCCTGGTGGGAGCTGTTTAGGTCATGGGGGCAGATCCCTCATGAATGCTTGGTGCCCTCCTCATGGTCATGAGTGAGTTCTCACTCTGTTAGTCCATACTGGTTGATTAAAGGACCCCGGTACCTCCTCCTCTCTCACTCCCTCTCTCACCATGTGACTCACCTGCTCCCCCTTTGCCTTTTACCATGATTGCAAGCTTCCTGAGACCTCACCAGAAGGTGAGTAGTTGCTGACC